CTGGACCGTGGCCTGGCCTGGCCTGGTCCCGGACCCAGCAGCATCCACTTTATGATCTCGGACCCGGCGGCGGCGGCGGCGCGCTGTGGGGCGCATGCACTCGGGGCGCTGCTGGCGCTGCTGCAGCCCGGCGCTGTGGTGTGGTAGTGTAGTACGTGCAGTGGGAGGGCGGTGGCGGCGGCGGCGGCGGCGGCGGCGGCGTGGCAGATGGACGGATGGACGCGGACAAATGCGGGTCGCGTCGGGGCCGCCGCCGCCGCCGAGGCCTCCTGCTCCTGCTCGTCTTGTTTTAATCGACTCTTCGTTACGATGCTCATGCTCGGCCATCGCGTGCCGCCCAACCCAGAACCCCTTCTCTGCTTAGCTGCCCGCGGTGCGGGCGGTGCTGGCGGGAGCCTTCTTAGATCACTCCTCTTGCCGCCGTCCAGCTCCTCCTCGTCCTGGCCGGCCTCCTCCTCTTCCTCGTCGTGCCCCTACCCGTCCTGGTCACTCTGGTCCTCCAGCTCCTCGTCCTCCTGCTCCTCGTCGTCCTGGTTGTCCTGCTCCTCCCGTCCTGCTCTTCTACGTCCTGGGCGTCCTGCTTCGCCGCCGCTTGTCCCATCCCCGCCCAGGCCTTAAGCGTCGCACGCCGCGCGCCTTCGTTTTCGCCTTCCCCTTTGGCTCGGCCCGCACTAAAGGTGTTGCCGTTTGGCGCCCCGGCAAATGGAGTGCCGGCGGCCGGGGCCGGGGCGGTGATCGGTGTGAAAGGCTATTTTGCTCAAAGGTCAAAAATTGTTTTCCGCCTTTGCTCCCCCTCGCCCTCCTTTCCCCTCTGCCGCGCCCCACTCCCACAGGAGAGGCGAGCGGACGGGCCTCTGGGGAAACAATAAAACGTAAAACGGGAGCGGTTTGTCGCTGAAATGGCGGCGGTGGGTGCGGAGCAGTGCGGAGCGCCCCCGGTGCCCCGGGGCCGCCGCCGGGCCCAGCCGGGTTGGGCGAGGCGCTGAGGAGTACCCTCGTAAAACTTAATTCAAGCGCTGATGGAAAAGTAAAATATGAATATCCAGAGGCCGTGGTGGGGCGGGGCGGGTTCAGGAGGCGGCGGCGGCGGCGGGCCGGAACCACAGGGCAGGAGCACGACGGGCAGGTGAGGCGGTCCGCACCGCAGGGCCCCCGAGGGCCCGCCTGTCCTGACCTACTGCAGGGCTGCTGGTCCTGCATGCCATCATGATACACGCCGTTCTGAACGAACGGCCCGAGTGATAGAAAACTGCGAATGTTTAGGGAAACTCCCCCGCGCTTTATAGTACGGACCATACAGCCCCGTTGTCCCGTTGTCGCCTCGACGGTCACGACGAGCGTTTTCCCGGCTCACGGAGCTTGTTTCTGTTGCGTGAAGTAATCCGCGGGCCTCTCCGGGGAGGGAAGACGGAGCGAGAGGGAGAGAGGGAGAGAGAGAGAGGAGGAGAGCGGCGGGCGGGGGCGAGGGTCGCGCAATCGTAATTACTTGCGAATTGTGGGGATAGAGTCGCATGGGGCGCGCTCGCGGCGCGGGCCGACGGCGCGGCGCCGCCGCGGCTTTGGCGGGGCGCGCATTCTTCGCGTCGCTTCCGCGCCACGCCGCGCCGCGCCGTGCTGTTCCGGAACCACACAGAGTGATAAATAATTTTAGAGCAGCCGCTGCTGCAGCGCCCCTTGCCGCGTGCACAGCGTGTTGCGCGTCCTGCTCCCGGCACTGCTGCTCCGCGTCGTGAAATTGAACACCGCGCTGTTTGTGTCCCTCATGTGCTCCACCGTTCTTCGGCCCGCCTGCCTCCGCGTTGCCCCCCGAGCGACCATGGCGGTTCACTTCTCTCCCCTCGACTTTACTCGTTTCATCCCAAATCGGCCACGTCTGTCCTTATGGTGACCTCCTGGACACAGGCCTCTCTCGGGTACCTCTCGGAGCGCCGTCCCCCACATGGCGACTTTTTGGAGTGTGGCCCTGCCCCTGGCGGCGACAGTATCCGGGTGGCCTCCTCGACGGGGACCTCATCGACGGGGACCTCTTCGTCGGTGACCCAGGTCCGCGGCGCGTTGACGCTGATGGCCACCCCCTCCCCCTCCCCCGCCGCGACGGTGGACGTTGACAAATGCTCTGCCCTCCTGACGGGGCAACATTTTCATAACTGTAATGAAGTGTCTGGCCCTTCCCCCCTCCTCCGCCCCTCGCCTCCCCTCCTCTCGCCACCGGAGCAAGGGCACCACGCATTCCCGCCCCGCACTATACTTCCGAATAGTTGAAAGTTTTCGTCAAGTTGGCGCGGTGTGGCGTGGCGGGGGTTGAGTCCCCCCTCCTCTTCCCCTCCGCGGCGCCGCCGCCGCCCCTCGCACGGACAGCCACAAGCTCCGGCGAGCTTCCCTCCGCCCCACCGCCGACCACCGGAAGGTGAGCGGTGAGCTGGTGCGCACCTCCGCGCCCTCGACGACGTCCGCACCCGAGATCCCGCGATGTCCGCCCACCCTTGTGTGTTCGTCACGTCCTTGCCTGCCTACCCTCCCCTTCCCAGCCAGGCGGAGGAGACAAGTGAGTTGACAGGATGCTCCTTGGGGGACGCTGCCGCTGCTGCTGCTGCTGTAGGACACAGTCGCGCCACGCCACCGCGCCGGGCGCGCGGCGAGCGAAATTGGCATGTCGCCACGGACGAAGGCCATAAACTGGAAATGTGTGCAGAGTTAATGTGCCGTGCCGTGGGGGTGCTGCCGCCCTGTGCTGTGCCGCCCCCGCGCCGCCCCCACTGCTGCGCCCCCCGCGTGTCAGGTAGTGGGCCCCCCGCCGAGGAGGGGGTGGTGAGTTGTGTGACCGTCAGGTGAACCCGACTGACTGTGTGTGCTTTGTGTGTTGCAGGCGGACGAGCCCTCGGAGGACGCCGCCATCATGGACGACTACATCAAGAGTACGGCGCCGGAGGAAGGGTTCAAAGGTGAGGCGGCAAAACCCGCTGTTTGCGTTTTAGACGCCGTGACGGGCTTCACCTGTTGCGAGCGAAGGAGGGTGCAAGTGTGCTGCAGTGGAGCCTGCCGTCGTGGGTTCAAAAAACGTCGTTTATGTGTTGTTGTTTTTTTTTGGGGGGG